TCGCTTTCTGTCTCTATGTCTCTCTCTGTCTGTCTGGCGAGCGCACGCGCCCAATAGCAAAAAAAAAAAAAAAAAAAGACCCCCCCCACCCAAAAGAAAAAACCCCAAAAAAAAAAAAAAAAAAGGGGGGGGGGCCAGCAGCATCTCTGAAACAAGAACACAGTGAGCCCAGATGAGAAAGAAACCGAATTTGATAGTTGTCCCGTCACTTGCCATGGTCCCTGTGGTCTCTCAGATTCCTGGCCTCCAGCCCAGTTTAGCCACTCTCAGAAGTTTTGGGCTCAGTTCCTGGGATCTCCATAAGGCTTTCCAGCCCCGACCTTGACTGCTCCCCACAACCTTGTTCCTTGAATTTTGAGCTGAACCTACCCTCTTGCCCAGCAGTCCTTAGTTTTCTCTCTACCCAGCTCCTGAGCAGCACCTGGTTTTATCAGAACCTTAATCTTCCAATTCCTCATACTGCTCTGTTGTCTAGAGCCATACCCTCCTTTCTGCCTGGACCATACCCCACCACATGGGGTCAGGGAAATCTCTGCAGAGCATGACAGTCCACCTGACACTTTGCCAGATGGATGTAGGGTAGGGGCTGATCCCAGATAACCAGAAGATGGGGAGAGCAGCTGGGTGTGGAGCTGCCCAGGAGTCAAGCCAAGGAAGCCCAAGTCCATGAGGAATACACAGCCTGGTCACTGGTGACCCAGCCCTGTAGGCCAACGCTTGGGGAGGAGTGGTGGCTCAGAGGGGTGTAGTGAGTGAAAAGCGGAAATTAGAGGCAGCTGGAGCAACTGAGGGGCTCAGGTTCTCGTGTATCTCAAATGGAGACATGTGGGAGATGCAGCCATGGGTTATGGTCCTGACTTTAGTCTGCCCCTCAGTTTGTGCTGCATGGCATTGCCTTGTCTCTTACTGTTGCCTCTATGCCTACTGGAGCTGCTTCTCTCCTTCCACCCTGGAGGTCACTTTCTGGACCTCTGAACTCACTGGTGTACTTCTTGCTGTTTCCTTGCAAGAACATCCTCTGTTCCTGGCCTACTACTAAGACTAAGATCAGGGCTCCAGCCTTTAGGCGAGGCTCCGGTACAGCCTGTGACCGTGTGCAGACCTCTTGGAGCTCAACCAACCCTGGCTGCTCTCTGCACCTGACCAGAATCCACACCGATGTCCCTGTAGGGTTTTGGCTGAGATCTCTACCACTGCAGCCCTGTATCTGGCCCTTCCCTGCCCTTCGAGAGAGAAGCCAAATTTGACAGTTGTCCCCAGTCACTTGCCATGTTGCCTGTGGTCTCTCAGGTTGTGGTTCTCCTGAGTTCTCTCTCCCTTCACTCAGGGATGGCATTCAGGAGTTCTACCCAGCTGCTTTTGGCACCCATCCTGGGCAGACCTATTCTTGCTTCATGATCTTTCAGGGCTGATGCTGCAGGGATGAGGCTGTGAGAACCAAGAGGGCAGGGGCTTTGTTCATCCTGTTTACCACTGAGTCCTCGGTGCTGGCACATGTAGGCACCCAGTGAGTATTTAGACAGAGGCTGAACTCCTATTAAGGAGGTGAGTGGTCTCTGAGTCAGGGTCTTGATCTCCCTTCACCCTGTACTGCCTAGATGCACACCTGTGTGGGGATGCACGCTAAACACCAGGTGTATCTTGAAGCACCAAGGATAGGTCTGATCTCAGAACCCTACATCCTTCTCCATCTGACTCTGCAGTTGACTTTAGAGCCCTGCTTAGTCATGTCCTCCTTTATCCAAATGCCTGTGGTGATGTGAGCTCTTGGGAAGACGTGTTCTATTAAAATACAAGTGCACTGTATTGGGGAAGTGCATGTTATGGCCTTGTGCTAAGCACTGTGCAGGTGCATGGTCTGGTGAGAGGCCCCTTGGTTTTACCTTGCTCATTGGGGTGGCCATTCTGGGCACATGGTTTCAATTAAAATTCACCAGGAGGATTTTTCTAGGTTATCTGGCCAACCATCATCTAGTGTCTTCTGGAGGAGAGATCTAGACAGCAGGCCCTTTCTACCATTTGGGAGTCCAACTTACTCAGGAGAGCCTGGGAAGAGTAGTGCTCCCAAGCTCTGAGTCCTCAGAGACACTGAACCAGGCTAGAGAGCACAGCAAGGTCTGTGGCACCAGTAGAAGTCAACAGGACACCAACAATAAACTGGAGGGGAAGTGTAGACCCTGCCACACATAGTCCCCTCCCCTCTACTGCAGCTGGGCCCTTCTCAAAGGCAGAGTGAACTTCCCGAGGAAGCAGAGCCACAGAAGGCTACAGAGGAAAGGAATGCTCTTGATAGAAGAGTCACCTTGCTTCCTGGACACACCTGAAAATCCACCAGTGAACTGGATTATTTTGTGGATGCCAGTGAGAGAGTATATGATTTAAAGAAATACCTGGCCATCAGGTGACTAGTTACTTTGTCATGTAAGTAGTTAACCTGACATATATGTTCATTTTGTGGTTGGATTTTAAAATCAAGCTTTCCTTTAGTAAGGCTAATGCTATCAAGGATAATCCTAGGGGATGAGAGCCAGATCATAGTAATAGGACTGGCGACAAGGTAAAGAATTGCATTCTTAATCTAGTTCATACTTTGATTTACACAAATCTGTGGGAATCATTACCACTGAAGACCCTTCTGGTGCTTTAATACAACAAAAATTAGCTCCTTTATATAAGGCTGAGTGTTTGACCTCAGAAAGTCAAGAATTGGTGACCATGAAGGATTGCTGACCTGGCTTCTAGAAGGAAGAGAGCTCTGGTTTTGACTTAGCAAGGTTTCCAGCCTCCAGGTGCCTCAGTCAAACAATAGTCTAACCAGAGGACCATGGAGACTTTAATCAGGTCAGTGTGGTAAAGGCTGGAATCTGGGTTCAGCATGCGTGGAGGAACACCTTACACATAGCATTGGCTGGCTCCAGAATTTCATCTATACCACAGATTACATAAACATCATCTTGCCTGACAGCCCTGACCTGAAGGGTGAGCCTGATGGTTTAGTTCCTGCAGGAGTCAAACATGGCCAGCATCTCACCTCTGCCTTATCCAGTTCTTCAGCAATGTTGGAAGTCTTCCTGGAGTGAGTTGTGCACATTCCACAACAAGGCAGAGGTGACAAAGGTGTTATTGCCCCACAGTTGGGTGGACTACCCCAGGATCCCAATGTGATCACCACTGTTCCCAGCAATAGACCAGCCCCTTGCTGCCCACAAAAGCTTCATCATTGCCATCATCCTCTTCAACAGGAGAGACTTGATATAGAAGGCACAGTCTCCATCCTTGAGGGACCTGGAACACATGGGGGAGGTGCAGCTGAATTTAATAAAGACCCCCTAAGTGGCAGAATAGACTGAATTGATAGATTCCATAGACAGACCCTACACCCATGCCCAACCAGGAGAGCTGGGGAGTGGCCAGTCTTCACCAAGGGGGATGACCAGTCTTCACCAGAGGCCAGGAGCTGCTGCCTCCCCCTCTTCCTTCTCTGTACAACTTTATTAAACTGATGTATAGTAAACTGCACATATTCGAAGTCTACTTTTGATGAATTTTGGTATGTATCTATCCCTGTGAAACCATCACCATGGTCAAAGCAATGACCATATCCATTACTCATTTTCTTGTGCTCATTTGAAATACCCCCTTTCTGTCCCTCCTGCCCCACTTCCAGCTAACCACTGACCTGCTGTCAGTGACTATGATTAGTTTACATTTTCTAAAAAAATATATATGTTGAGTCATACAGTATATATAATTTTTTGGTTTGTTGTCTTTCATTCAGCATCATTACTATTTTTTTTATCTTTTTTTTTAAGAGGTTTTTTTTTTGCTATAGGGCATGTGTGCGCACCAGAAAGATGGAGAGAGACAGAGAGACAGAAAGTGAGAAATCACCCCTCAGAGGGATGGCCACACCACAACCCTTCTCCTCCATTCCCCTCTCGGGATCTTGGGCACACATGCACATGTGCCAGGCATGAGTTTAAGCCACCGGGTCCAGGACTCAAACTGCATGGGAGTACAGTGACATAGCCATTATGCCAACTGCTGGTCCCAGCATCATTAATTATTTTTAAAAGAATTATTCACTTAATTTTATTTATCATTATTATTATTTTAAAGAATTATTTTATTGGGACCAGCAGTGCCTTAACCACCATGTAATCTGCTGGCATTATTGTTTTAAGGTTCATCCATGTCATTCCTTGTATAAACTATTCTTATTTATTGCTGAGTAGTATTCCATTGAATGGATATAGTTAGTATATTATGATAAAGTTGCTATGAACATTCACATGCAAGTGTTTGAGTGAATGCACGCTTTTATTTCTCTTGGATGAGAGAAATTCCTGCAAGTGGAATGGCTGGCTCATAGGGCAGGATATGTTTAATTTTAAAGC